TAGTTCTATAGACCATTTATAAATCATATTTGAAACCTAGAGCTCAAAACTCAACTGGCACGTTTTTCGGTGCAATCGTACCGCGATATTTTTACCTGCGAAAAACACTATTCACTGATTTTTCTGAAACTTGCCTACCCACTCAATTTTTCATTCTGAATCCATTTCCAGAGTTAATTTTATCATCTGAGACCTTCTACTCAATTTTTATCTTCCTAGGTTGCGTGTTGGCTAATTATCGTTTTGTCCTTTCTTTGTATTTTAGCCTAATCTTCAGGATTTTTCACTAATCCTTCACTTAATTACTCACTTAATATTTTAATATTTGATTTACAAATGTGAGGTGTTATATCAGCTAAGATATCTCCGTGTCTGCAACTCATCAGGACTCTACCTTGTATCTTCGTGCAAGTAGCTGAGTCGTGCTAGTCTTACCAGAGATCACCAATGCCCATTCTTGGTGTCTCTAGACTAGGAACATATTTCTGGTAATGGACGTGTTATGTCATTGAGGTCTCATGATTGTGATCCCTATCATAGATCCTCAACATGACACATGTTCCATTCCATGGGCTTTATCCAATTACTCATATTCAATATATATAAACATATAATATTTGAGACAGACAATATGAAGCAAGATAAAAAATGTTTTTATTCATTAGTTTATTCATAACAATATTGCAATATAGGTCCATCTGACTCTCGGATTGTCTCTTTTTTTTGGAGTTACCCAACCCTAATTATCTCTTTGAGACGAGTTGGCTCCCTCTGGTATCCCCACGAGCTTCGACTCTTTGAGCCGGCTATGGGACTAATCCGGAGTGCGGGGGAACAGTGATGGCTAAAGGTTCAGCCCCCTCCCCAAGAATGCATTCAGCGGGAATCGAATCTCGGATTGTCTCTAGGACACCTATATACTTACAAAAATTGCCTTCATGTTTTATTTGGAGCTCTTAATAATCTCATAGCGAAATGTTGTACTTCTTATGGAGATTTGATATTTAATATCTCACAATGAGAAATTCTTCTATTAAATTTGATTTTTTAATTGAATATGTTGTTTTGTCGATTTAAAAAATAGATTTATGATATTGATTACTAATTTAATTATTTACAAACCGTTGAATATTATACACCTATTTTTGGTTTATTAAAAATTATTCCTGCACAACTTAAATTTATGATCAAACTTAAATCCTATTCATTTATTATTATATTAGTTATTAGTTTAATAAGTATTAGACCCATTATCAATTGGTGATCCTAACAACTGAAACGATTAATAATTTTTCATGTGAGCAATGACTAATGATGAATATAACTTGGTTTTTCTCACACACAATATTAAATGAAATAGTTATTTCAATGTGTTGATTAATTCTTTTTATATGAAAAAATTATTATTATTATTAAGTTTTGATGTTTGTCATTTTAAATGACATAAATTATGTCATTTTAAGAGAGAGATAGACACAAGAAATGAAAATCATAGGGGAGAAAGTAGGTGATTTTTTTAATTTAAATTTAAAAAAAATTGTATCTATCTCTCTCTTAAAATGACATAACTTTATGTCATTTAAAATGACAAATATTTTTCCCTTATTATTGTTATTATTATTTACACTTTTTTAAAAAAAAATTCACAATGCTTATGATTATTATTTATTTATCTTTATCTTTAAATATTATACTTTTATTGACTAAAATAAAATGATGCACATCTTCCCATGTAAGATTATGTTTAAAAAATTTATTTCTAATTTATATTTTTTGATTATCATTATTTCTTAATTTGGTGACACGGTGAATGGTTTTAATTAGCACTATTTTTTATGTTTGGTGACATGGTGAATGCACATATTTCATTCAATTTTCTTTCTTAATTGTGAAAAAAATAATGCAATTCAAGACAAAAACAATGGTAAAAAACATGATGAAAGAATATAACAGTAGATTATAATTTTTTTGAATTTTTTAAACCCATTTAATCAAGGGCGTTGGGTATGCGGGATTCCTCTAGATTTTCGGAAAACTGAATTTTTCTAAATTTTAGATTTACGGATATTATCACAAACTGAATGTAAAAATCATATTTTTGAGAATTGAGATTCCCGGCTAAAAAAAAATTTCTCCTCTACCAAACGCTCCAAATTTTTGCACACTTTTGCAAAAGGAAATTAATCTTTTCTTCCAACAAATGTACATTTGCAATGTGAAACGGCCAAACAAATGAGTATAAGCTTTTGTTGACTTTCTCACTATGGAAGGTTAATAATTACGCTAATTGTGTAGTAATTTCTTATCATGATCCTTATGCAAATTAATTTTAAAAAATGATACTACAAAAACATTTTTTTGGAAATATCTCTTTTTTGGTAAATAATGTGGGCTAAAGCCCAAACAAACAAAAATTAAGGAATTACAGGATGAGATAATATATTCTTATAAGCCACAAGATTCGGTCTAGTGGTGAGGGATTTGGTGACTAGTGATGCTCCATACAAATACATGTCATAATATTTGAATATATTAATGTTGGTATTATTTAAATTGATCTGCATATTGAATTTTTCTATGATATTGAATTTATAATTGAATTTTAACTTAATTTCTTGATCTCTTGTAAAGCCCATTATAGGTGTTTGCTCCAACTTGTGAGTTAGGGAGTTTGATCTTTTAGAATAATCGTGAGGCTCGAGGTTAAGAGTTTATTTTTTTAAAGCATCTCATACTATTTGATAAGCTGTCTCATCTCTATTTGTATTATTTTCTGAAGTATTTGTATTCTTTTTCTCTAATTGTGTAGTAATCAACGATTGAGATTAGGAGTAAGAGTTGTAAGTCTTGCTCTAGAGTCAAAAGATCTCTTCCCATATATATATATATATATATATGAAAAAATATTTCTCGGGCAACTTGAGATAAGTTTATCTCTAGTCACTCCAAAACGTTTTTTTATTTATTTATTTTCTTATATTAATTGATTCACCTTTGAATGGTTATGATTCTCTTTCTCTCTCTCCCCCTTTATCATTATTAATCCATTTTTGTGCGGTTAAGATTTAGTAGTCGAAGATAAAATTATCTCAAGCAGCTTGAGAAATGATAAGTGTATATATATATATATATATATATATATATATATATATATATATATGGGGAGGGTTCTTTTGACTCCAGAGTAAGACTTTTAAGTCTTACTCCAAATCCCAGCCGTTGATGGACGGAAATCAACGGTTGTCATTAATAGTATAATTAATAATTAATTAATTAATATAACTTCCTAAATTATAACCGTTGGATGAACGGAAATCAACGGTTAGGATGGAGAGTAAGACTTATAAGTCTTACTCTTGAGTCAAATGATCTCTCTCCTATATATATATATATATATATATATATATATATATATATAGGGTTTTATAAGAGTTATGTTGTAGGAAAAGTGATTGTGTAATGTTATAGGGATTCGTTTTGCGTGCCTTAATTTTTTATTTATTTTTTTGTTTTAAAAAGTGTAGGCCCCACAAAATGTCGTGAGTGTAAGAAAGTTTGTTGTGTTATGTTAAAAGATAAAACGAAAACCCATATATATATATATATATATCCTACATAACCTACGTAACTAACATATAGAGTTCATTAGTTTTTTGGTTATCAAGTGTACCATTTCCTTCATAGCGTATCTTATTTCTATAAGAATTAAGGTTTTATTTTGTATATTTGCAGAGATTTTCGTTATGTGCTTTAGATGCATCCTGTATCACCACCACACTCTTTGCTTCATTCTCCATGATTGAGTGAGAAGGAAATGGGAGAGGGCGATGAGGGTGGAGGCATTAGATTTCATGAAAAAATTGTCTTAGTATGGTATCATTCATGAAAGAAAACTTTCTACTTACTTTAATGGTGTTTATCTTGTAGTGTTTAGTAATTCATTAGCAATAATTATTCTAGTATTTTTGGCTAATTCACATATATCTACTTTAGATTTCATGTAACAAATAACATTTTGTCAACTTAAAAAGTTCTCATTGCTAATCATCCTCTAAATTGTTATACACGTCCGTATATAAATGTTCCAAATTTATTGTCCATTACCAGTCAATGAGCTATGTGTGACCAAATTCTTTACGAGTGTACCTTGAGGGGGTGTTTGGTTCAAGTTTTTGGAGAGGATTACCGGTAATCCTTCTTTGGTAAATGTAATTACCATGTTTGGTAGAAGGAATAAGTTACGATTCCCGGATATCCAAGGATTACCGGTAATTTGATTTATAAAGAAAAGTCACTATTCAGATTACTAAAAATAATATGGTAATTCGGAATACCAATCAGAATACCAAGTAAAGGAAAAGCACAACAATAAATTTTGAGACAAAAATACCCCAATACATATAAAAATCTAGACCCAATCTATCAATTACAAAAGTAAAAATAGTTTGGGGTTATTTTTGTAAAATAACCTCATATTCCAAGTCATATTTCGTTCTAAACCAAATATGGAATCAGTAATTTTTACCCAGTATTCCCGGTAATATTTTGGCGAACCAAACACATCTTTCGTAAGATTCCAAGTAAACTCAATTTCTACTGAATTCCCATTAATCATGATTCCCGGTCACCAAAAAATTTCTCCTGTACCAAACACACCCTGGCATATGGATTGATCTATGTTTGCCTGTAATTTATTCTAAACATGTTGGCACCCTAACCATTAATGTCGATTTACTATCGATTTTTTAACGATAAACATCTTAGTTTATCTGATTTACTCACTTTAATTCAGACTTTAAATCATGTTAAATAATCAGGTCTAATATGTAATCATGATCCTACGGCCTGCATCTAGTATGATATTTAACAATCGAAGAAAAGGGTAGAGTATATTATACAAAGCGATACTCGTATGTACCCGAAAAAAAAAATTCTTTTTCTTACTTGAACAAGATAATAAGAGGCATTAAGCCGCCACAATAATTAATCTAATGGTGAGGAATTTAGATAAGTTGTATTAGGTTATGTGTTCAATTTTCGCTTGTATAAAAACAAAAAAAAAGATAATAATAGGCATTTATGCCAGATCATGTAAACCAAGTATTTCTATTCTCTGACACAACGGAAACATACATTATACACCCACTCCATCACAAATACAATTTACAATCAAATGCGAACAAATATTTATGACTACTAATCCTCATCGCTTCCATAGTGTTGACACAAAGATTGTAGTCCATTGCTAGTATTTGTCTTGTAATCTTCCTCATTTTTCTTTTGTTCTGGTTCTGCAGGACATTTAATATCAGAGGTAACTGGTTTTTTAATCACAGAAATCCTCACCAAAGGATTAAGCTTTCCACCACTGCCGCATGAATTCTCTGCAAATAACCAATAGATGGCATGATGTGTTGCATTCTCAAGTTAATAGTATCATTAAACATCCTCTCTAGCAGAAATATCAAAAAATGAATACATCAATAAAACTATAGCCAACTAAAATTAAATGATGCAGAAGTGAATGGTGTCGACTTTTCTGCCTATAGCTCTCTTTCTTCAAATCATGCTAGTTTTAGAAAACGGCTCCATAATAGCCCGGAGCGCAAACCCGTGTATTACAAAGTGATCCAACAACAGATTAGGAGGTTTTCTTTCTTCTGGGTATGCAGGAGCAGTTATCTGAATAGGATCAATGTTAAGTCAACAGATGGTTAATGTGCACTGGGTACTTTGACTAAGACTACATGATGAGAGTGATGGTTAGCAGACAAACTGATATGGTACACGACTGAAGACGGTCCTTAAAATGATCTGCTTTCCTCATGTTAATGAATGACTTTACTCAGTGGCAATGACATGACTAAAATTCAGTGTGCATAATGCATTAATAAAGTTTGATGTGTGCTTTTCCTGAAAAAATATCGAAAAATGGCACATACCTTGTTTGCCAGAATCATCCAAACTGGGTTTCATCAATGTGTCAGTTGCTTTGCTTGGAAGATCTTCTGAAAATTTTGGCCTCTGCAGACAGATACAACGAACATAAGCTCAGATTACATGATTTCAACATCTCAAAACGAATGAGAAATTAGGCACCTTCTTAATAAATGCTGAATTTTTGCAAATCCGAGAGAACTTAAACTATATACTAGTTGGAGCGTTTGATGATCTTATGTGTGCAACATTTTTCTAACATATTTCAAGTTTTAAAAGTCCAGGTTATATAAGCGAAACAAACTACAAACTTCCTTAAAATTATGCACTCCAATTTTAGGGAATGTTTAAATGTGAGAAATGCATGTTCCAAACGATCATGTGTTGTTTGTTTCCGGAAGAAGGAAAGAAAGAGTGTTCCATAAGTCTTTTAAGTGTAACGTCAGTTTATAGCACTAAAGAAAGAAAATAAATCTTCAAGCAGCTCCTTTGATGCTTTAGGCGTGTTGTTAAACTTCAAATGAAACTATACTTCCCCTTTTGTTCTTTTCTTGATAAAAATGTTTTTTCTAACCGCATCATTGGGTTCATAACTCAACGCCCTAACTAGTTTGGGATGTACAAAAATTCTGAACATGTAGTGTAATCAAATTCACAAAGAATATCTATTATTCTAAAAAAAAGAAAGTCAAGAAAAGACTTTCAGGACAGTGGTAACTGAAAACGTGGGATATCAGGGTTCAAATAGCAATTATAAAGGTTGAAGGTTCAAGTTCTTGGATTTCAACAGTTCACAAAGTGGGATGAAAATGATCAGAAGTGAAGTGCTAAATAGTGATGCTGCTATAATTTATTAGGCCAACAAGACATTAAAGCAAAATCTATTCCTACAAACAAAAAAAACACGCACTTGATATCTTCATACCTTTGGATCATGTCCATTTGAAAGCTCAACCAATTCCTCCTCAGTTTCAATATCTTCATCACGAACTCTTCTAACATAACCTTCTGAATTCTGTTTAAGAAAATACAAAGCAAAACATATAGATTAATTTCAAAAAGAAGGAAATCGACCGACATTAAAAGTAGCTAAAACTAGGGAGGAGAACTAGAAGTGTAGAATAGTAATGCTGACATGAAAGACAACTGATTTTAGCAGTGCTTCATCTTCTTCTTCCAGCCTTTTCTCCTAAGAACATAAAATAACAAGGGTTAATCCAAAAAATAATAATCAGGTGAAATACAATGAGAATAAAAGAAAGCTTTAAAATTACACACAGCTTTTATGCCATAGCCAAAAATTTGAAATAATAGACAACCGGTGTTTACACGAGTTGTCTGACAATGTTAAAGTTCAGGGGTAGCAATTAAAAGGCACGCATTGGATTTTGTAACTCATGTTCTCATCAAGAGAACCAGGTTTTTAGTTCCAAAAGAACTGACATAGCATTACAAGAATATACCAAACACTAAACCAAAAATGGGTCTTGTGATCAAAACAGGGTCTCTGAAGGAAGTATGCAGTATTGTACAAAACATAAGAATGGCTTTAGGATTCCTAATTTGTAGAGTATGTAATCGCTCATATCATTTGTGACTAAAAAGTCACCGGTTCGAATCCGAAAAACATCATCTTTGTACTTATGGAAAGGTAAGGCTGCGTACAAGGATTGCCCTCATCCCACCCTCAGTAGTCCGGGTTTAATAAGGAGTGGTTTTAAGAGGGTGAGCCTAGAGTAGTAGTAAAGTTGTTCCTTTGTGATTGAAAGGTCACGAGTTCGGATCTAAGAAATAGCCTCTTGTAATTATACAAGTGTAAGGCTGCATACAAGAATTGCCCTCCCCCTCCCTCGCTGGCTGGGGTTTAATGATTTTAATCGTTCAGTTCATCTTTGTCAATTGTTTTAGAAAAGTGGTTTTGATCCTTTCTATCTGTCACCTTAAAAAACCAATGACGTACTAATTATTTTTTTATTTCAATTATACCCTTGTCATTCACAAGTGAGAGAGAAGATTAATAAAGTAATAATATTATTTTGAGTATTTCAATAAGAGAAATTAGGTCAAATATAGTTATTTTTCTTATAATCAAGGGAATTTAATGACTTTCTTAATTATTATGTGATAGGAATATAGTCATGTAAGTATATGTAGGTATATGTAAGTTGGGTAGTAGGGGATTATCTGTTAGTCAAAATATTCTAGAAGAATGAGTTTGTTAGAGGAAAGAAGGAGGGCAGTGTTGAGGTGGCAAGGCTGTTAGAGGGAATAAAAAGAGTAGAGTGGCGTGAGCAGAGGCATGGAAAAATAGACTGGGAAATTGGGACTTGGGCTGGGAAACCAAATTGGGAGAGAATCAACACCTCTCTAATGTGTTGAATTGTATCTTTCTTTCTTCCTATTTTCTGTCATCATAGCTGATACGAGAACCTCCATTGTAGTAGATTGAGTCCTTGTTATTTCATTACTATTGCTTGTAATTTCAACTTATTAATATACAGAAAATCCAGAAAGTGTTCCTTTTGGGCCAAAATACTCTGTTCTTCGTAGTTATTTTGTTTCATCTCTGATCCAGTTCTATCAACTGGTATCAAAGCAATCTGATCCAGGGGAGTTTGAATGATGGTGACCAGCAATATGGATGCCAGATTGGAGATGATGAAGAGCGCCTCCGCCGGAATGAAGAGTTGACAGAGGAACGCTACCGCAGAACAGAACAGAGATTGACGGAGATCTAGCAGCTTCTTCAGTATCGTCGCGGGAGGACCCGACACATGCACGTTCACGAAGGGGATGGCAAGAGTCCTTGCATTCTGGTTGGAGGAATGAGGAAGTGATGGAGCAATCCAATTGTTGCAGAAAAACCCACCTACGTCATCGGAAATGACCGAGGAGATGAAGACGTGGAAGACGACTTTGCTAGAGAAGCGAAACCAGACTTGGGCCATTGACGAGTTTGGGCTGAGCCATGCTAATCAGTCTTGCAAAGGGGTTTCAAGTGTGTCACGCGTTAGGCACGTGCCTCATTTCTCCAACACTGCCAACACGCAAACTAAAATGCTGGTCTTTGGTACAACTCCGTTAAAAGACGAGCGTTCAGAAAATACCACTGGGGCAATTGGAGACTTACGAACCCTAGAAGGCTTTGGAAGCAATGGGACGAAAGGTGAGGAGAGAAGACTCACTAGCTCTGAGCATCTCTGCAGGGTCGCGCAACTTCAACTTTTGCGCGTGGATGACGCTCAATTCGAAGTGGAGATTGAGGAAGAAGAAGAACAAAGCATAAGAGGAGCGCGAGGAAGGTTTCGATTGCGCCAGCGCCAACAATGCCATAGCCGCCTAAGCCACCGGACAAGAAGCGCATTGAGAGAGCGGAGCAACACAGCCATAAACGGCCGAAGTTGCAAATGCGTGCAAAAGACGGATGGGAAAATTGGGGCAGAGTAAAGAAATTGGCTAAATTTGTTGACACAGAGGATCAGGTCCAAATTGTTATTAATTTGTCCAAAGCCCATCCTCTGCATGTAACGATTTCATTTGACATTTGGGCTTGTGAGCCCATAAGTATGCCTACACAAATTCGACCTAAACTATTTGGGTGCTATTCAAGGAACCTGAAGGATCGACTCTTCACAACCGAGGAAGGGCTAGTCTTCGTTTCATGCTTGACGCACAAAGACATAATTCTTAAGGGGGCGTTTGGTAGAGGAAAAAAAAAATTTTAGCAGGAAAATACAATTACTAGAAATATGGTGGAAAAATGAGTTTGATAGGAAAGTTAAAAAAAATTGTTTGGTACGCCGAAGTTTTACCGGGGAAATTGGGTTAAATTTTCTTACTCTATATTTGGTCGAAAGTAAAATATTGATAGGAAAATGGGTTAAAAATACAAAAATAACCCTTTTATACTTTTTGAATGTGAATAACCCTTGTATAAAGTATCAATGAGCGTGTCTTCGACATTTCTACCAACATCAAGTTTTCATATCTTTGTATTTTTTCTCTGTCTATATTTTTTGGAGAAAGAATTTATCATTGCATGAGGTGGTTGTAGATAATGAGATAACTTTTGCAAATCACCTTAATCGACCTTGCAGGATGCAGATCAAGTGTTGGAGAAAAGAGTACAATCTCATTTTTCACATAGAAAGCTGTTGTTTTTACCACCTTCAATGGAAGACTCTCAGAGGTGGATAGATTGAAATTTCCACTGGACTCGACTGAATGAGGTTAAACACATTGTTCTTTAGAATAGGGTATTTTTGTCTGCAATTTCTTGCTCTTCTTGCCATTTAGCCGGTTAACTACAAATACCACCTTCCAAGTGGTATTTGAGAACAATGTTTTTTATCCCATTTTACAAACATTTCTCAAACGCTGGGCAAATAAGTTTGTTGGGAAAATATTTGAATATCTTGTACCAAACATGGATTACACAGAATACCAAAGTTAGATGCATGGGTATCTTTTGTGAACTCTCCTGCCAAACACTACCTAAGGATTACATGGCCAGCATGGGTCCATGGTTGATGGCCACTAGAAATGGATATGAGAGAAGGCGACAACCAACAATGCAGAAGTAAGTTAGGTCAGAATTGGAATGGGGTCATTTGGTGGAAGATAGAGTTGCTGTAATATGGGAATGGGATCCTGGTGAGTATTATCACCCATTGAGCGTAATTTGACAAGTACAATTCAAGCAATGGGATCCCGCCGGATGGTGTTAAGGGGCTAAACCTCACCTTGAGGGCAAGGTGAGTGTTTAAGGAGGGGAGTATTGATAGGAATATAGTCATGTAAGTATATGTAGGTATATGTAAGTTGGGTGGTAGAAGATTATGGGAACATGACAAGTCTGTTAATTAGAATATTCTAGAAGATTAAGTTTGTTAGAGGAAAGAAGGAGGGCAGTGCTGAGGTGGAAAGGCTATTAGAGGGAATAAAAGGTGTAGAGTGGCGTAAGCAGAGGCATGGAAAAATAGACTGGGAAATGGGGACTTGGACTGGGAAACCAGATTGGGAGAGAATCAACACCTCTCTAATGTGTTGAATCGTATTTTTCTTTCTTCCTATTTATGTCATCGTAGCTGATAGGAGAACCTCCATTGTAGTAGATTGAGTCCTTGTTATTTTCATTACTATTGCTTGTAATTTCAGCTTATTAATATACAAAATACTCTGTTCTTTGTAGTTATTTTGTTTCATCTCTGATCCGATTCTATCATTATGCAACAGCCTTAGATGACAGATATAAAAGAAAGGAACAAGTAGTATTTTTCAAATCAGCTCAATGCCTGGGCTTACATTTCCCACCATTACAAATATTTTGATTTTATAGTGAAACTTTACAAAACCAAGGATAGTTATCAACCAATTACAAGTCAAACAGAATTTAAAGTTTCAAATTGAATATATTCCTTTTGTAATCAATAATAAACCCTTGCTTCAAACAGGAAATTTCTTGCAGAAACCAAATATATTGTATAGCTAGTTTTATCATACCTTGTCAGCTGCTGTGCGTTGCAATGCCTCTAGCATTTCATCAACACTGACAGTTGCATGCCTAGACTGAAACATAAAATAGACTCATGTTAGCAATTATATAATAGGAAGACGTCAAATTCATTCACAAATGTAATTATTAGAACAAACGACCCAAATTATAAATGTCATATTTTTAAGGCATCGTGCACAATGTACATATACTAGCATTTCATTCAAGTATTAGCTCGGATACACATCCATTACCTATATGCTTGGATACTTAAATATGTATCTGTGAAGTATCAAAGCCAATTTTTATTTTTATTTTAAATTGTCCAATTCCAATACAGCTTGGACTCTTTGGGATATGGCATAAGAGATTCAGATACAGCTTGGACCTTTCGTCTTAACACATGACTCTTTTCATCGTATTCGATAGCCATATCTTATATATGCATCATAATAATGTCCACATCCCAAGAGAATCATTTATGTGCAGGCGTCAAATTTAATAAATCATTATATACATTGCAGTTACACAGTGAGTACCTTCATCGACTTCATCTCATCCAATGCAGCAAGGATGTCCATCTCTCTTTTAGAATCCAGGGTTCTATTCTCCAAAGATTTCATTGCATCTCCCATCTCTTCAGAGTCCCTCTTCTGCTTCATTTTATCAGCTACCTCATCCTCTGCACGCCAAGGTTCAAAATTTCTGGTTGCACCAGATTCAACGATATAGTCCGAATTCTGAGGGTCTGTCTTCATGGTCAGCTCAGCTGAGCATTTAGTGCACTTAAAGTAGAACCTAAATATTTGAATTCCCAGATATGTCTGCACACAAAAAAATAAAATAAATAAATAGAAGAAGATAAAAACAATAAACTCAAACCCAACGTCATAACTGAAATCAAATCACACATAAAGCAAGAAGCAACCCAGGAAATTAAGGGCATGTCCCTTTTTCCTAGTTCTATAAACAGTTTAAAAAGCAACATGCAACCAAATCATAAAATTGAAATGTACCCAATACTTGAAATCCCAAAAAGATAAAAACTTATCATGCCCTTTTAAGACCCATACCAAATTACACTGAAACGCAGACGCCAAACAAGCAAAAAATTGAAATTGAACAAGTAATAGTAATAATAACAATAATCATGAAACGAACCTCGCCAATAACATCTTCCTTTCTGGAATTGAACTTGGTGCCTTTGTAGATGTAATTGCCGCAAGTGTTGCATCGAATGCTCATGGGAAGCATCATGCGGACCTTGATCTGCTGGTTCTTGGGCCTTCTCGCTCTGGGCAGCTTCGCAGGATCAAAATCGGGTGGGTAATACTTGTTCAACACTTTCCTCTCTCCCATCTTTCTTCTTCTTCAAATTCAAATTCCTTCGCACTCACCAACACCAAAAACTGAATCAATTCAATTTACCGACAAAAAAAACCTAGGATTCTCTTCCCTGATCAGAATAGGTAATTAAGTATAAGTTACTCGTACAAACAATAATAATAATAATAATAATAATAATAATAAAGAAAGTTAAGAATAAAAACAAAAACCTCAAATCAACGGAAATAAATTGAAGAGTGTGTGGATCTGAACGGGAGGGACGGCACGGAGGAGAGAACCTCTGTCTCCACACTTTCCTTTTCTTTTTTCTGGAAACGAGTATAAGAAACAGAAAACAAACTACCCTACGCCGAATTACATGCGCAAACGAGGGAGAACACACACTTTCCTTTTCTCAGTTTCTCACAACTAGGTGAATGTGGAGTACTGCAGAAAAAAACGACGTTCGTTTTGTTTGCGGACTGCAATGGCTGATCCAATACATTTTACGGAATAGGCTGGCTGAACTATATTGTTAGCCCAGTCCAAAACTTTGCGGACTACAGCCCAAGTAGATTGGTCTTTTTAAAAAATAATAATAATAATTACCTCACCATGACATCAACAAATGTCATGCCCTCTTCCAATCAGGCAGAGGTCATCCTGAAGAGAGCTGTCCTGATTCACACTATCATGACCAAGGCGAAGGTGGAACTTCCTATTCTTCTTCAGGACAGCATTTATGATATGGCTCACTCTGACAGTGACTCTGCTGCTTTGGGTCAATGTTCCTTGATTCAGCTGCTTTGTCAGAAAGCTGGTGTAGATGTTACTGATAATGGGGCACCAACTAAATTGCACCCTACAATTGATGCCGCAATGATAAGAAATCAATTGAAGATAGGAGGAGGGGAGGCCACAGGATTGACCCCTGGTAGGAAGTCTACAGCTGAGAGTGATGATGAGTTAGAAGAGAGGCTACGGTCAGGGGAGCAATGGATGGTGAATACTGACTTCCGTATGAGACATTTGTGCAGGCGTCTCCGGTTTATGCAGTCCAGCCAGCACTCATTTCAGACATATATGGTGAAGATGATGAAATCTATATGTGAGGCTCAGGGCTTAGATGTTATTGATTACCAGCCTGTTGTTTACCCTCATTCTGATGAGGAGGAAGCCTTTGAGGCAATTGCCCGGACTCACTATGTTGATCATGTGGATGGAGCTGCGACTGCTGATGGTGCTACATCTTCCCATGCTGCACACACTTTAGAGAGACAGCCTGTTGTTGATGCCACTACCACAGAGACCACTGCTGCTGCTGCTGATCCACCTGCTGATACTGGTGCCATGGATGAGGACAGGGGTATTGATCCTGAGTACAACCCCTTGCCTACTGCTGATCCAGGCTCAGATTTGATGTTTACTGATGATGAGGAATCTACTCACTAGACTCCTCATTTTGTTTTTACACATTTTCTGTTTTTATGGTTTTATTTTGGATACTTTTAGTTACTTTTGGTATTATTTTTAATTTTGTACATTTGTTAGTACATTGAGATTCTCTGTTTGGATGATGCACTTTTGAAATAGTACTGATGCTATTTGTTGATATGTGAATGTGTTTAAGAACTTGTCAACTGCTTTTTAGACTTAAATTAGTTGCTGGGGACAGCAACGTTTAAATCTGGGAATGGGGTGTGAATGAATGACATGATTGCAAAATTCCATGGTGATATCACACAGTTGATGATGACACACAGTTGATGAGCCACAAACAGGGAAACATCTCAATCCTTTCTTTTAAATTCTTGTGAATGTAGTTTTAGGTAGTTTAGGTAGTGTTGTATATGTACAAAGGTTGGATTTAGAGTTGAGATGATGTGAATTTTATGAGGATAGGATGATCAAAGTTTTACATGATTGATCAAATTTTTTTGATGCAATTTGTAATCCTTGCATGTGTGCTAAATGATATGTTTGCATGACTCATGCTATGTGAGGAGTAGAGAGATCAGTTTGATGTATATAGAGGAATTCAAGCATGCATTCTGAACTGTGAGACATAGAGCCTATACAGAAATTTTTTTTGTTCAGAGAGCACTTCACTGTATGAGTAACTCTAGAACTTGCCCTGTTTCTAACTTGAAATAGTTCATGGTTTGTAAAGTAGAGTTTATTGAGGCATTTTTCTTTTGAACCAAATTTTCCTATTGCATGGAAGCCTTAAGCCTAAACTTGTTGTGATAAAACTAAAAGCCCTGCACTTATTCCAGATCCTAAGTTTTTAGATTATGTGTTCAGATAAGGGGTAAAGGATGAAAGCTCTGTTGGAGAAAGGTGTTTCTGCAATGAATAAAAATATTAAGTGTTAAGTGTTGGAAATTTGGAGAAAAAGAAGAATGAAAAGGAAAAAGGAAGTAAGGCACGAAGTGCTTGGTTTGGAAAAGGAAAAGAAAAAGGAAATGAGGAAAAAGGGAAATCAAAACAACACAAAGTGTTGAAAGTTGGAAGAAAAGGAGGAAGGAAGTTTAAGAAAAAGAAAAGTTGTAGAAAAGGTGGTGAAAAGAGTAAATGAAAAGGAAGAAGAGAATGAGAAGGATTAAGGAGTACATAGATAAATTCAATAGTGATCATCTTCTTATCTGAATCTGATTCATCTATCTAACCTTCTGCAACATCAAATCCTACCTTTAGCCAACTACGTGCCAAGCCATTTTCCTTCTCCTATACAGAATCCTATCCCTAGTCAAGTCATACCACCAAAGCCTCTTTTGTTCTGCTTATGAATCACTGTCACTATGGAAAGTGAGAAGATGGGCAAGCTTATAGTAGTTTGAGTGCAGTGGAGATTGAGTGATGAGTACACCCTTAGACACTAGAGTGCAAGAGAGTTTATTCTCACAATTTTTGAGAAGTTCCAAGTGAGGGGGGTGTTTTGTGTTGAAGGTCTCTGCATTTCATCTTACTGATCTATTGAAAGTCATGAGATGAGGTTAAGCAAGTCATAGTAAAAGATAGATTGCTGGGTTGTTAGATTGTATCTTGGAAAGTTGATCTGTCATATTTCAATCCAACCTCATAAATTTCATGTGTAAAGAATCTCAAGTTTTTCTGTCTTTAAAGTTATTGCTAAGGACAGCAATATTCAAATCTGGGAATTGTGATGAACCCTTAGTTCATCATGGTTTTTAGCAGGAATTAGGATCAAATTGTGTGATTAAATGATGAAAAACAAGGTTAATGTCCTAAGATGTCCTAAATTACAAGTTCAAGAGCTTTATTGGAAATTTGTATGATTTTTGTAGGAAAAGCAAGCTTGAAAGGCAACTGGAGAATGAAGAAGATTCTGGAGCTCAAGAGGAGAAAAATTGCCTAAGTGTTGAGCGCTAAAACGTCCACACTGAGTGTTTTAGCGCCCTGCTACAGGAAGAGGCCAAAACTTGCTGGTGATGAGCGCTAAAACGCCCACACATAGCGTTTTAGTGCGCTGCTGCACTTAGAAGATGGAAAATTGCTGGTCTTGGGCGCTAAAACGGCCTGCAATAAGCGTTTTAGCGACCTGAAGTGGAAAAAGGACTCTGGTCTCCACCGCTAAAACGTCCAAATCAAGAGTTTTAGCATTGGAGTCAGTTAAAGTCAGTTGAGCATTCACCAAGTTTGGATGCTAAAACGATCATTCCTTAACGTTTTAGCATTTTTGTCAGTTAAAGCAGTTGAGCATACGTAAAGCATGGACGCTAAAACGGTCACTTATGGACGTTTTAGCGCCCACATCAGTTTTCTGTTTTTAATTGTAACACTATAAAAGGCAAAGCCTTCACACTTAGTAAAAAGATCTGGAATTTTCTCTCTCTCTCTTAAACTTTAGTCTGACTTCTCTCTAAATTCTCTTAGTGTTTTAGTTTTTGTATTAGGATTTCTTTGTAATAGTTTGGAGATTGAAGACTTTCAACATGGAAATGAAGTTTGATTCTTCTTCTCTTGTCTATTCCTTAGTCATGTCTGAGTAGAGTCTTTGTAGTCTGAATGCAATAGAACTCCATGATAATATTATGTTGATCTGATTAATATGATGAAGTATTTTTCATGTGTTGATTTGAGATTTTCTGATTTAGTTATTTCTATCAAGGAAGTAGTGTAGAACAGGGATGTTTATATGACTTCTGTATCTGATAATCTCAACATCAGAATTCTAGTACTCAAGGGATTGATGCTAGAGTTCTGATGTAATCTTAAGACTTTAGTATTTCATGCATGTATTAAGAAACAGATCACCAAGGGATTGGGGTTTCTGATTAATGTATCTATCAGGGTAGTAAGGGATTACATCTTGATGATAAGTAAAAGGTTGATTAACATCACATGGAAAAGAATTCATCATATGATCAATTTCTACATGGGTTATTATGGAGGAAAGTTGTTTTCTGACTACTTGTTGTTTTATTAATTCTTAATCCATATTTATTTTGTGACAAATTACTTACAATCAATTTTCTGGTGACAAATTATTCATGACTTTTACATTTTCTTATCTGATTCAAATTAGTTTTCTATGGTTTATTGGTGCTTGAACACAATTCCTCGTGGGAACGATCTTTACTCATCATTTTATTACTTGTACGACTAGTGCACTTGCTAAACGTCCAACATCATGCTCTAAGTCTAGCTTATCCAATACATCCCAAAATGCAAAATGACATAAAAACTCATGCATCCCATCATGCTCTCCTCATAATCCTCCAGTGGGCCTCTTGCCCAAAACTCCTACATCGCTACATCCCCCTGAAATATAGCCCCATAACGCGAGGTGAGTTATACAGATATATATCAGTAATCCAAAGCTCTGGAGGATCACTCCGCCCAATGGCTCTCTCAGATGTAAAATGACAATAATGAAACTATACACATATCATACAAAATCATGCGGCCCAATGGCCTAGGCATACGACATACAACATATCATTGGGCTCTTATCCAAGAATGTATCCCTGGGATATCATTCAATACACCCACAACTATAACTCCCGAGACATTCTTAGAGTGCTCTTCAACAGATCACAACTCTATGGCCCCAGGTCAACTGGAACTCCCCACGAATGCCTCTCCAATGGAAGTCCCCTACGACATATGACAACTATCTACTGGTCAGAGATATGGTACAACTCTAGGTACCCATTCAACAACACATGCATGATAATGTTATACTTACATTATTGCATCAAACAACTTCCAACCACTATCCCAATGGGCATGGTGGAGCACACATAGGGATTAACTCCAGTACCAAGAGATTACCTTTTTGAAACTCCCAAGTTAGGTTGTTTCAATCACAAGTTACCTCGCATCTTTCTTCAACAAATAAATGCCTACACAAAAGGTCATTTTCACATCATTTAGTGCCACAATGACAACCCAATTGGTCATCCAAT